AACTCAAAGACAATGGAGTTACAGAGGCGCGAAAGTGACGATCTTTTTTTTTTCAAATATCATATTTCATTGTCCAGTACTGTAGCTATTAGGTTTTTCGGATATAAACAAGCGTCACTAAACTGATTGTTATGAGAGAAGCTTTTAAAACATGTCTAGAAATGGTAATCTAGAATAGAAATTTTGTTATTTTAAGAAATCAATTTTCTAAAACTCTTTCTATTATAATTTTCTCTCTATTCATTTTTACTATTTTTTTTCTATTTTTCTCCTTTTTTTTTGAATCCTCACAGAATTCAGTAAATAGATTAAATTTTTAAAAAAAGGAAACGGTTGAAATGTTGAAATGAATTGAAATGAATAAACAAATCTCTTCTTCTTGTTTTAAAAACAAAGCCATACTTTTAAGAGTTTCAAAGATCAATTTGAAATCAAACAATGTTCTTTTCATGTAAATTTCAACTCTGAAAAGAAAATAGAACTTTGTGACTGTTTTTAGACTTTCTAGACTGTTTTTAGGCTTTCTAGACTGTTTTTAAGGCTTTCTAGACTGCTTTTAGACTTTCTAGACTGTTTTTAAGGCTTTCTAGACTGTTTTTAGGCTTTCTAAACTTTTTTAGGCTTTCTAGACTGTTGTTAGACTTTCTAGACTGTTTCTAGACTTTCTAGACTGTTTCTAGACTTTCTAGACTGTTTCTAGACTTTCTAGACTGTTTCTAGACTTTCTAGACTGTTTTTAGACTGTTTCTAGACTTTCTAGACTGTTTTTAGGCTTTCTAGACTGTTTCTAGACTTTCTAGATTGTTTTTAGGCTTTCTAGGCTGTTTCTAGACTGTTTTTAGCCTTTCTATCCCTTTTTTAACAATAATAGATGAAGAAGAATTGAAATAATGATTGAAAAGTCTTTAAAAAGTCTTTCAAAAATCGTTTAATAAAGAAAAAATCGTTTAATAAACGGAAAATCGTATAATAAACGAAAAATCGTTTAATAAACAGAAAATCGTCTATTTTTCATGTTTTTTCATGTCTTTTCATTTTTTTTCCTGTTTCTAATTAAATAAAAATTGAAATTTGAATGATTTGATAAACATTTAAACTTTTAAAAAGATTATTTCTTTGCAGGAAAGTTCTTTTTTGCTTTTAAAGTTGCTTTTCATTGAGAAAATGCGGAATTTGACAAATTTCTGGTCTTGACAGATTAATCTGGAAAAAAAGAAATTAGACAAGCACGATTTTTCTTTAAAACTTTTAAGAAAATTCCCAAATAACTACAAATTTTTTCGAAACTTTTAGAGAGTTTTACGGATTTTCTTTTACTTGGCACGCAATGAGAGAAAAAGAATAAATATTTGATGGGAAATTTGACGAAATTATTTGAAAATAAGATAGCTTTAGAGGTTTTTTGAGGCGGAATTCAATATTTTCAACGACAACGACTCGTCACACTTTGAAGACCTATAACTTTGTCTAGAGATTAGATTTTTGTTAACCTTTTATATCATTGAATAGAGGACATTTTAAGCTTTCAAATGATACCTAATAGAGGTTGATTCGATAATGTAATCCAAAAAAATCAGAGCCAATCAGAGTCCGGGTATTTTGAACGGGTTGTCACAATTTGAAGGCCTATAACTTTGTCTAGAGATTAGATTTTTGTTAACCTTTTATATCATTGAATAGAGGACATTTTAGGCTTTCAAATGATACCTAATAGAGCTTGATTGATTTTTCAATTCTCATGAAAACCAGGCGACAAGACACCCGAGTTCGATAGGCCTTATTTGTTCAGAGTTGGCTCTGATTTTCTTGGATTGCATTATCAAATCAACCTCTATTAGGTATTATTTGAAAGCTTAAAATGTCCTCTATTCAATGATATAAAAATTTAACAAAGATCTAATCTCTAGACAAAGTTATAGGCTTTTAAAGGGTGGCGACTTGTTCAAAATATCTGAAAACTACGCAAAAGCCCAAAATTGACAAGCCAATTAAGGTTCAGATTTATATATCTTTTGTATATTTAAATCCACCTCTATATATCTATATATCATAATCTAGGACCAAGCCAGGTCACAGTCTTGCAGGGCAAGTCTTTATGAAACAGGCCAACTTAACAATCATGCCAGGTGAGATCCAGGTCCAAGTTTGGCTCAATTACTTTCTGAAAACAAGATAAAGTCAGAGTCAAGTTGGTCCTTTGTTAAAACAAGATTCAGCAGTCATACCCGAAAATCCTGACCAAATCAAAGCTAAGGAAGACGAAATCAAAGCTAAGAAAGGTCCAGGACTCATCTCTAACCATCTCAGATACTTTCCGTGATCCAGTTACCCTAAGAAAGGTCCAGGACTCATCTCTAACCATCTCAGATACTTTCCGTGATCCAGTTACCCGATAGTCACGTCAAAACCTTGCCAAATCTTTCTTTAAACCTTGCAAAATTTACATAAAAAGCCAATATTTAACTTAAAGCTTTTTCAATTAAAATTTCTAGACTTAAAAGAATGCTTAAATGGATAAAAAAATCCAGGATTTCTGTTGGTGAAAGTTTTCTGGGAAAATCTGAATTCTTTGCCCGATTTGGAAAGGGAAAAAGAAGAGAAAATTAGTAAATTGCAAATCTAAAAGAGAAAAAAGAAAAGAAAAGAAGAGCTGAAGATTTCTTTTATTGAAAAGAAGAGTTCCGGGTGTTGTTAGACGATTGAAGTAGTTGTGGAAAGAAAGAAAAGAAGAAAGAAGGGAAAGAGATGAAAATCGAGGATTGAACCCTTTTTTGCTCTTTTCTTGCTCTTTTTCTACTCTTTTTTGATCTCTATTCATTCAAATTAGATTTACCGACCAATTTTCGGAATTTTCTGAATAAAAATGACGAGATTAGAATGAGTGAAGGGATTTTTGAGACAAAAATCATCTATATATCGTAGCCGATTATGAATGAGTGGGTCTAGGAACGTCCAACCATCACAGCAATCCTTCGCCACAAAACCTACAAAGAATATTTGCTGAGATTCTTGGCGAATTAAGAAGTTTACATGGTTTATATGTCGTAACCGATTATGAATTTCAGCTAATTAGAAATTTTGGTCCAGGAGCGTCCAATTATCAAGTATTTGATCTCATTCAACGCAGAATCATTTATAATTATGTTAAATTTTTTAAATTAGAAAGATTGGATAAAAAGAAAAAAATTTTTGGATCTTCAAAGTTTTCTCTCTTAAACAAACAGCTCTAATTCTATTTCTTTTTATCCAATCTTTCTAATTTTAAAAATTTAACATAATTATCAATGATTCTGCGTTGAATGATACTAAATACTTGATGATTGGACGCTCCTAGACAAACTTATTCATAATCGGCTACGTGGGTCGCGCCGATTTTGAATCAAACGTTGTAGCGCCGGCAATTTTTAACGTAGACTCACAAATTTGGTACCAATCGACGCAGAATTGAATTCGCTACAAAATAATATAATATTGTCCTTATAAAGATTGAATAAAAGAAAAAATTATGGATCTTCAAAGTTTTCTCTTAAACAAACAGCTCTAATTCTATTTCTTTTTATCAAATCTTTCTAATTTTAAAAATTTAACATAATTATTAATGATTCTGCGTAGAATGAGACCAAATACTTGATGATTGGACGCTCCTAGACAAACTTATTCATAATTGGCTGAAATTTCATGAAACAATTTCGATTTTCAATCGTATTACTTCCAATAAATGAAGGATAACAAAGCTACCAAGATTAGATTGATTCTTCAATAAATGGAGACAAGATTACGCTAGTTTTCAATCTACTATATATGTCGTAGCCGCTTACGAAATTCAGCCGCTAACGAATGAGGGTATTCCCGGGCATCCAATCAAAAAGTCACCCACATAAAAAATGTTCATAATACATATATTTTATAATAAATTTTTGAAATTAGCTCATTTGGTTCAGTAGAAAATTTTTTTTGAGCCCCCAAAGTTTAGGTTCAAAAATGCTTTAAAATGGCTATAAAAAATTTTCTACTCAGTCAAAAAACTTGCCTAATAGCTCATTTTGTAGCCAATTTGATGTAGTTTCTTAAAGTAAAGCCATCTAAAACAATTTTTCGTTGAAAGTAGGAGAAAGAGGGCGAGGAACAAATTCAGGGCAATTCTCAAATGTGAAAACAGCGACCGAGTTCAACTGAAGTCGTTCCTCGCCCTCTTTCTCCTAGCTTTGAAAAACAAATGTTCAATGTAGCTTTATTTTAAGAAACTACATCAAATTGGCTACAAAATGAGCTATTAGGCAAGTTTTTTGACTGAGTAGAAAATTTTTTATAGCCATTTTAAAGCATTTTTGAACCTAAACTTTGGGGGCTCAAAAAAAATTTTCTACTGAACCAAATGAGCTAATTTCAAAAATTTATTATAAAATATATGTATTATGAACATTTTTTATGTCAGTGACTTTTGATTGGATGCCCGGGAATACCCTCATTCGTTAGCGGCTGAATTTCGTAAGCGGCTACGACATATACAAAAATAAAACATCTGTCCGTCCGTCTGTCACGCCTACGCGACAATACAAAGTTAAGTTAACGTAAAATTACAACGAAATTAGCTAGAAAGCTGAGAATTGGTACTCGGGGGTTTTCGGGGGCGAGGAATCCGAATTTGCAATCAGATTTGTGCTGTACCTTTAAGTAGAAGATCCTCAGTACCTTTAAGTAGAAGATCCGTAGCGGATGCCCAGCGCAGAATTTGTCATCTATATATCGACAAATGCTACTGTATTTGGGTTGGGAGAAGCCTCTAGTAAAGTATTAGAGCCATCTTTAAAGCCAAAGACTCACATCGAAATACAATCATCTATTACACACGAAATTTTCAAGCTTTTCTTGCAATCAGTGCACCAGAAAGGGTAGATTTGGTCATTTTTCGTCACTTTTTCACATAAAATCATGAGCTTTTGTGATTAAACCAATTTTTGAATCAATTTTTTGTAAAATTTTTATTTCAATCCGACTCATTGCTTGATTTCTTCGAAATTTTTCTTGATAAACTCCAAAATTTTCGGCCAAATTCTTCTCTGCTCACACCCAGATATATAAGGATCACCTCCAAATAGCAAAAATTTACCTAAATTTAAATTTACATTGAAAAAACGAAAGTTAAAGTTGAAAATATAGAGAAATTTGAGATCTTTCCCTTTTCCCCGCTTTTTCTCTGTGGCCGAAAGAAAACCCGCTTTTCGAAACGCCCTCTCGCCATCCCATGTGGTCTAGTGGTTAGGATTCGTGGTTTTCACCCACGCGGCCCGGGTTCGATTCCCGGCATGGGAAGAAAATTTTTGCTTTCTTTGAATTTGGAGAAGAGATTGGTTTTAGACTTTTTAGACTGCTTTTTAGAGTTTCTAGATTGGTTTTAGGCTTTCTAGACTGTTTTTAGGCTTTCTAAACTGTTTCTAGACTTTCTGGACTGTTTTTAGACTTTCTAGACTGGTTTTAGACCTTTTAGACTGGTTTTTAGGCTTTCTAGTCTTGTTTTTAGACTTCCCAGTCATCATATTCTACTTATTTTCTTACCAGCAACATAGGTGACATCACAAATCGGCATAAATGGCACGTCCAACATGTGAGAGCCCTTGGAAGCGATTTCGAAGCTGAAAAAGCTTTTTTTTTATCAAAACTTACATATTCTGATATGTAAATCAATTGTAAACTAAAAAGAAAGCGAATTACTTAAAACTATCGCTTTTCCCGGCATTTTTCATTCGTTCTTCGATCCATTTGCACTGTTGCAAGGCAGGAATTGCTTTGTCCCATTCGCTTGCCTGTATATCTTTTATTTTAAATGATTTTTCGCATAATTTCTCACAATATAGAAGAGATTTTGATGAGAATTGAGGCTTTCGAGTGGAATTTTGTGTTTCTCTTCAGCTTCACACGCTTCATACATTTTCGCGTACGAAACGCAACCATTCTCGATCTCGACTTGGCTCAGAGCCTCCGGAGTCAATCTAAAAAATGTTTTTTTTGATATAGTTGGTAGAAAAAATCGTCTACTTTACGCTTTAGATAAAAAATTGAAGCTACCAATCCACTAGAAAGATTGCGTTTACAAAAGTGCACAAAGGAAATTCGAACTCACGGTGTCCACGGCAATCTCTTTCCATTTTCTTTGATTTGTGAAACAAAATAGTAGCCTCCTTGTCCATTAATACTGATCGCTGCTTTTACCTAAAGCTTGGATTTATTGAACTGATACGTTATTGAGGCAATATTAGGCAATGTTAGGCTACGGCAGGTTAGGCAATATTAGGCTGTAGTGGCAACTGGAAACTGGCAACTGGCAACTGCGGCACTCTAACAGAGTACTATAGAGGAATCCTGTAAAGGAGCATTGTGGCGGGTACTCTAATAGTAAGGCATGGCTACCAGATTGAATCGGATCGGATCAGGACCGATCCGATTGGATCGAGAGGTCTAGCTAGCTCGATCCGATCCGATAGGCCCGAGCGATCGGGCTAGCTCGATCCGATCTGACCGATCTGACCAATCTAGCTAGCTCGATCCGATCCGATAGATCCGATCGATCCAGCCAGCTCAATCCAATCCAATAGATCCGATCGATCCAGCTAGCTCAATCCAATCCAATAGATCTGATCGATCCAGCTAGCTCAATCCGAATCCAATAGATCCGATCGATCCAGCTAGCTCAATCCGATCCAATAGATCTCATCGATCCAGCTAGCTCAATCCGATCCAATAGATCCGATCGATCCAGCTAGCTCAATCCAATCTGATTTTACCTAAAACCATGTCTAGTAAGGGGTACTTTGAGGGGTAAGGGCCAGAAGGAGCAAGAACACAGTTTAAAACTGACAAAGAGTTGCATACCAATTTTAGCTTTTAGATTACTCTATTAGAGTAATCTAAAAGTAAATCTAAATCTACTTACAATTAGAAAATAAATAAGCAAAACTTTTCATTTGTTAAACCTTGTTCGATCTCGTTGCCGCATGATATGCCCAAGTTCCACCAAGCGATGTCCCAATGAGAATCACTTGCTCAGTGGCATTGCGTAAACTAGTCAGATAATCGATCGCTTCCTAAAATTCTCAATTACCAGTAATTCGTACCACGATTACAAGAATATATTCCGTATTGACATCTTCGTGTCTTTTCGGTAGCTTTTCACTTTTTCCATATAAAGCCAACGAGAGAACGAGATAGCCAGATTGAGCGAGGAAACAGGCACGATGCTCTTTGATCCCGCCAACACCCGAGAGATCAAGAATGCAGGGAAGTGGGCAAATTTCTGAATTTCTGAATTGCATTTGATCTGAATTGCATTTGACTGATCAAGGTTAATAAAAATCAAAGCCAGATAAAGTTAAAGGCTTGCAATTAGCCTCGAAAGCCAAGAAAACCTTCTTGGGTCACTCCTCGTTCTTTACGACCAAATAACGCGTTATCTTATGCTCAAGCTTTCACTGTTTTAGTCTTTAATGATCTAGCAAATTGTATCCAACTAAGTGAGGGTAGGAATCCGAATTCTCAAGCTCAGAACATTAGTCTTTTTCTCAAAAGTCATCTTTTTAGTCAATAAAAGGGTTTTCACGCTATTTTTGTGCACAAAACATCTATCTTCTCGATAAACAAAAATTTAGGTACAATAACGGAACTCTATAACTCTATTCTCAGCCGAATGTGATTGTCAATTTTTCGCCGGCACTCGGATATAAGCCCGCGCTCGTATTTGAGCCGACGCTCGTATATAACCATGGCTAGAATGCCTCGTATAGAAGCCAGCGCTCGTATATAAGCCAGCACTCGTATATAAGGCGGCACTCGTATATAACGATGGCTTTAATCAATTTCGTTAATTTACCGGGATCTTTTGGTGAAAGAAATCACTCAAACAAGTCTCTCGTGTTCCAAAGAAGTTCTCTGGATAGTTTCCGACCAAAGCACTCGTATAGAAGCCAGCACTCGTATATAAGCCGGCACTAGTATATAAGCCGGCACCCGTATATAGGCCGGCACTCGTATATAAGCCGGCACTCGTATATAAGGCTACACTCGTATATAAGGCAGCATTGTTTAACCATAGCTTTAACCAATTTCGCTACTTTACCGGGATCTTTTGGTGAAAAAATGACTCCATCAAGTCTCTGATGTTCCAAAGCAGTTCTCTGAATATTTTCCGGCCAAATCACCCTCTCGATCTCACAATCGGCCACCGAATCGCGTTCTTCTCTAGAAATTCTTTTTGTTTCGTTTTTTTTTGCATTAATGTCAATCTCTAAGCATTAAAGCTAAATAAATAGATAAATAGATAAGATATTGTTGATGGGTAGCACAGATAACGTCAAGAATTCAATAGAGCTTCAAGATCAAGATCATCTACAGATAATTTAAGGCTTTCGAGACTATTGGACAATTCGTAAGCATTAGAGCTAGATAAATCTTACGGAAATAAAGCTATGCGATGTTTAAAAACTATAGAATTGAACACGATATTAAATAAATGTATCTAGCTGTGTTAGGGTTAGATTATGAACTTAGGCTTAGGCTTAGGCCAGGCCATTTATGAAAGCTATCTACTTTATCACTTACATGATATGCACAGAAATCTTGTAGTTCAGAGTCTCAGGCACTGGAGACAAGTTCAATTTTGATCCAAAACGCTCAAGTGGATCCTGATAAAGAGCTGTGAAAAGACCCATTTTATCAACACCTAAAAGATGAAGATAGATCCGATCGATCCGATCGATCCAGCTAGCCCGATCCGATCCAGCTAGCCCGATCCGATCCAGCTAGCCCGATCCGATCCAGCTAGCCCGATCCGATCCAGCTAGCCCGATCCGATCCAGCTAGCCCGATCCGATCCGATAGATCCGATCGATCAGGCTGCCCGATTCGATAGATCCATTCGATCGATCCGGCTGCCCGATCCGATAGATCCATCCGATCGATCAGGCTGCCCAATCCGATAGATCCATCCGATCGATCAGGCTGCCCGATCCGATAGATCCATCCGATCGATCAGGCTGCCCAATCCGATAGATCCATCCGATCGATCAGGCTGCCCGATCCAATCTTCTTTAAAACTCTAGACAAACCTTTATAAAATCCAAATAGTGGAGCTTCTTTGCTCAAATCAATTACCCCGTTCTCATCACTCACAAAAAATGCGTTTGCAATAAATTTCGTTTTGTGAAAAAGACTAGAATTTTATCATTTTTAAAAGAAATTTGTTTAAGAAATTCAAAAAAAAAAAATGAATTTACTTAAGAATTTAATTTCCTTAAGAAATTTAAAACAAACATCAACTCGATTCGATACAAAATTTCAGGTTGTAGCCCTTGTACCAAGAATTCATCTAAATCATCGATAAATGATGAACGTTTTGGGGAAATTTGAATAACCGGAGCCATTAGAAAATATCGAATTTTTGAGAGAAATCAATAAGGAAAACGTATAAAACGTAAAAACGATAAGTTTATCTTTGAAAAGTGATCATAAAGATAGCAAAAAAGACGGGGAAACGAAGGGGAATGGTTGTAAAATGATTGTAAAATGAGAAGTGAATGAATAATTCATTCAGAAATCATTCAGAAAATGGAAAACTATGGGAAATTTAGATTAGATTGTTCGGACAAGCGTTTACACTCCTATAAACAAGCGTTTGAACTGCTTAAACTCGTAAGTAACGAGAGAATCAAAAAAGCCATGATCTTTAGCGTGACGGATGAGGATTCCAGCAATAGTGAAGCCTTGTTTGCACTGCTTAAACTCGTGAGGAAGCCATTTCCCGTATCTGATCGCTTTTCCAATGGCGTAGAGATGCTCATCAATAGAATTTGAACATAGAAACTGTTGAGGAAGTTGACGGGACGTTTGACATGGATCCGATTCGATTGCAGTCCTCAAAATATCGTTGTCTCGTGACGTTTAACTCGTGAGGAAGTGGATTTGGTAGAATTGTTGTAGAATTTCCCCCATTCTCGACTCTCCAGTTGTTGCTGTCATCTTTGCAACGTAGCGTTGTCATGGATGAACTTTATCTTTGATGTGTCTACTCCTTGACGAATGAGAGATCAAGTTGATTGAGAGATTCATTGACCCAATCAAGTTGCTGTTTGTAGAGGTCTGATGTGACTGTTTGGCCGGTTTGTAGAAGCTCGAAATAAACAAGGCCCTTGTTATTCCACCATACTGAGAGCATGACCTTTTTCTCATGAATGTTCGGTTTCACGGCCGAATTTGACCGTTCTCCTGGTCCTAGCCATTGCCGTTTTCGAATAGTATTATCGAAATAGATCCACTTCTCATCTTCAGTAGCGAGAGAATCAAAAAAGCCATGTTCTTTAGCGTGACGGATGAGGATTCCAGCAATAGTGAAGCCTTGTTTTCACTGCTTAACTCATGTGGAAGCCATTTCCCGCATCTGATTAAAACATTTTAAAACATTTTCCAACACTTTCCAACAAATTTCCCTTTCAAAATGCCATTTTTGAGTAAAAAATTAGACTTTAAATGTCAAAGAACATTAAATAAGACTAAGTTAACAATAAAAGATTGAACGAAAAAGATTGGAAGCTTTTTTTGGATTTGAAAGATCAGCTCCTCTTTTTCTCCCTTTTTTCTTCTTTTTTGGCTTTTTTTTGAAACAGATTTTGTATAAAATTTCAATTCCAGTTCGCTTTTTCTCCCAAAAACATGCCCCAATCTGTAAACGGGAAATTTTCAAATATGCAAATTCTAAACGAAAACGATTTGGAGAGAAATGACTGTGAAAAAAAAATTTTATTTGAAAATGATTGCAAGCTGTGCATCTCTCTATTTTCTGTTTCAATTTGTTGTTTCTCAATGCAGAAATGGTGAGTGAAAATCTCGTATATAAGCCGGCATTCGTATATGAGCCGGCAATCGTATATAAGCCGACACTAGTATATAAGCCGGCACTCGTATGTAAGCCGGCATTCGTATAGAAGCCGGCATTCGTATATAAGCCGGCATTCGTATATAAGCCGGCACTCGTATATAAGCCGACACTCGTATATAGGCTGGCATTCGTATATAAGCCGACACTCGTATATAGGCCGGCACTCGTATATAGTATATAGTATATAGGCCACTAGTATATAGGCCAGAGCTCGTATATAAGCCGGGATTCGTATATAAGCCGGCATGGTATATAAGCCGACACTCGTATATAGGCCGGCACTAGTATATAGGCCGGCACTAGTATATAAGCCGGCACTCGTATATAAGCTGACACTCGTATATAGGCCGGCACTAGTATATAGGCCAGAGCTCGTATATAAGCCGGTATTCGTATATAAGCCGGCACTCGTATATAAGCCGGCATTCGTATATAGGCCGCCGCTAGTATATAAGCCGGCATTCGTATATAAGCCGGCACTCGTATATAAACCGGCGCTAGTATATAAGCCGCCATTCGTATATAAGCCGGCATCGTATATAAGCCGGCATTCGTATATGGCCGGCCTATTGCCGGCTTCGTATATAGCCGGACTCGTATATAAACCGGCGCTAGTATATAAGCCGGCATTCGTATATAAGCCGGCACTCGTATATAAGCCGACACTAGTATATAAGTCGGCATTCGTATATAAGCCGGCATTCGTATATAAGCCGGCACTCGTATATAGGCCGGCACTAGTATATAAGCCGGCATTCGTATATAAGCCGGCACTCGTATATAAGCCGGCACTCGTATATAAGCCGGCACTCGTATATAAGCCGACACTAGTATATAAGTCGGCATTCGTATATAAGCCGGCATTCGTATATAAGCCGGCACTCGTATATATGCCGGCACTCGTATATAAGCTGACACTCGTATATAAGCCTCTTATATATATCTCACTTTATTTAGAACCGTATTTCTGCTCGTACGGCCAAACGTATGTGGAAGCGAATCGAAATGATTGCAGGTTTACCGAATTTTGCCAAGAAAATTCCTTAGATTTCCCGAATTTGAAGGTTTAAAACGACTTTTCGAATCCAGATATTTGTTTTGGTCATTTCTTGTTTTTTAGACCTGATTTATTCTAATCTGGCTTTTGTTTTTGGATTTGAATTTATTTGAGTTTCTTTATTTGTTTTAAATAGACGCATATTTTGATGATAAATTGGGCTGAAAATGAACGAAAATAAGCTTTAGATTTCAACTTTAAAACAAACTTCATTGCTTTTGCTTCATTGCTTAAAAACGAGCTTCATTGCTTTGCCTTTGCCTTGCTCATTGCTTTGTCCTAAAATTCGCGCGTTTTCAGTCGTTTCGTTCGCTGTTTCAACGGCTCTCCGCTCTATTATCAATGTCGCAAAAAATATGTTTTCGATTTTTGTATGCAGGTTGGGAAAAAGATTGACTTTTATATGATTACAATTGAAGATTTAGAAGTGTGTGCCAATCATGAATGCTTGTGAGCCTGAAGAAGAGTGCTTTTGTGTTCAGAATCAAATTTGTGTCATTCAGAGGGTGAAAGCCAAGGATCGGAATCAGGTTTTTTGTTGAGTTTTCACATTTTTGATTGATTAGAGTACAAATTTGATCGTAATTTAGTCCGAAAGCGATTTCTCGTTGTACGGAATCCCGAAATGGACGGGTTTACCGAAAGAAAATTTCGATCCACCAACAAATCGATTGACGAATCAATTTTCTCAAAATCCAGTTAGAAATGGTTTCTTTTGATTGAAAAATTGAGTTCTTCTATAAATTTACAGTCAGGAATGCCATCTATTCACCAAAATTCGGCTCTCTTGGCTCACAATCTGGAAATGACGAGGTAAGGCTTTAGAATCTCGGCTACTAGAGCTTTTGGTGATGTGATGAGCTCAAAAATAAAACCCAGCGCCTCCAGTGTTTTCTTAAACGAAATATGACTAAATGTGCATATTTTGTAAAAGAAATTAACTAAAAATAGTAAATGGGAGTCGAGATTTGGGAATCGAGAGCGTATATAAGCTGGCCCGCCCCTTTTCCCATTAACAATCCAACTTTGAGCTCAAATTTCTTGGTGTTGAGCTGTCCAATTTCAATGTTCTTGGTATCATTTGATGCGCTAAGTCTTTCTCTATCGATTGATATAAAAACTATTGAAGTTGGACAGCTAAACACCGAGAAATTTGAGCTTAAAGTTCGAGTGTCAATCTTCGAGTGTCTCCGTCAAATTTAGATCTTTTGAATTACTTTTTTTTTTTGTAAAATATGCGCATTCAATTCTAGTTTTATTGTTTGTTAATTGGAGAATGGATTGCTTGGAGAAATCACAGAAAATTTCAACTAGAATCTAAGGAATAGAGGAGCACTCTCCCCTTTTACACTTTGTAGATTTTCTGATGATTCAATAACCCATTTGCAATGGTTTATACTTCAAAAGATGCGCAAGAAAATGAGCTATCAAATGGTTTTTTAAACGCTTAGAATCATCAACTAGCTTTTGAGAAAAAGGCTAAAAACTGAATGAGATAGACTTGCATGTCTTTGAATGCATGATTTGAAAGCCAAGATACTTTACAACGAAGATAAGGCAAGGATGAGCTGTACTAGGCAAAGGATACATATTATTTTGTTATTCAGCTTTCTAACTTTAGCCTAATCCTCATTTTTCACTAAATTCCGATCAACCGTGGTACAATTTTGTCTACTATCCATTCTCTGCCTACAATTTCATTCAAAATGATAAACCTGTGAATGTTTGGTGGCCATTTCTACTTCAAACAACTACCGATGTCTTTTCGAACTCAGATCCAAATGCAGGTTGATCTTTTTTAACCAAAATAAGAACGATCTTAATGTTTTATTAACTAGGGCAGATCAGCGCGCCGCCGGGAGTCGAACTCGAGAGCTTACCGGTCAAAGTTGAACCCGAGAGCTTACCGAGAGCTTACCGGTCAAGCTTGCTAACCAATACACTACAACGGACTTGCTCCCTTACTTCAGAAGGAGTTAACTTCCTTCCTTTCTGGACAAGACTGTTCTACTCGTCTAGATTTATAGGCCTGCGTTGCGCTTGAAGCTAGTTATCAAGATCTTAGCCAACCCATCCTTCTGTGCTGACCAGTTGGAAAGAGCGCAGATCAAATGGCGCGCCACCGGAATCTAATCCCTGACCTTCCGCTTACCGGCTAAGCGTGCTAACCATTACACCACCATTTGTTCCCTTACTTTAGAGGCAGTTAACTTCCTTCCTCTCTGGACAAGACTGTTCCACACTTCTCGATTTATAGGCCTGGGTTGCGCTTGAAACTAGTTATGAAGATCTTAGCTAGCTCAGGAGACGATCAAAGTTGAGAAAGTGAGTGCTGAAAGAATCTACTAATTTCACCAAAAACTGATGTGGGAATATTTTACAAGTACGCAGCGCGAGATTACAAGTACATTTTACATGTACAATTCAAGTATATTCAATGTACAATTCAATTCAAGTAACATTTACAAGTACAATTCAATAATCTGGCGACAGAAATTTCCGTTTGTTCAGATTTTAAGCTTGTATTAGATTGACAGTTGGAACCAGGGCAGATCAAAAAAATCATGCACCGAGGAGACTCGAACCTGCGACCTTTCTCCTACCGAGTAGCTGTGCTAATCAATAGACCAGAACACACTTGATCTCCTTTCTCCAGAGGAAGTTAACTCTGGAACAGACTGTTCCACACCTTCTCTCTGCAACAGACTGTTCCACTCGTCTAGATTTATAGGCCTGCGTTGCGCTTGGAACTAGAAACTTGAAAACCTTAGCCAGTACTGCAGAGCCACATCCTTTCCTGGTCGCCAGTTGGAACTAAGCGCCCCGCCGGGACTCGAACTCGAGAGCTTTCGCTTACCGGGTAAATGTGCTAACCATTAAACTACAACTTAATTAATCCCCTTACTTCAGAAAGAGTTAACTAGTTTTTCTATACTTTTTTCATTTTCAGTTCCTGTTTCTCAATGTGTTCCCTATGAAATATCAAAAATGAATGTTACTTCAAAAGAAAATACGACAAATAACTGAATGTTTACAAATTTATTACAAATCCAAAGCCAATAAACTTTTATTCTGATTAGAAACTCACAGACAAATGTCAAAATTCGAATTTCAATCTTTTCAAGCGACAAATCATTATAGATTTAAATCAGAAAAAGAAATGATTGAGATAGAAGTGAAATGGAAACAGAGGCCATAGAGTTGAGCTTTTTGTTAGAGCTTTGACAGTAATTGCAATTCCACGTAACCCTTTAATCTTTTTCACAAAACTGGCTTTGTTCTTTAGAGGGCTAGGAGCACGGCACAGTTAAGATCTGTTTACTGGTTGACTTAGAAGTTAACTAATTAAGCACAAAGATCATTCATTTATTTTTGTTGATCCAGTCAACGTGTTTCCAACGAAAAATCCAGCTTTTACATGGTTTTCACCAAAGAAAGTCTCGATGCTCAACTTTATAGACGAAAAATAAGCCTACTGTATTTAAAAAATGAATCCTGAATGAAATGAAAGTATCTCTAAAGTTAAAGAATTTCTAAACGTAAGTGAAATCGATCTATTTTCTTTTCCTTACCTATACAATTCCTTAGCCCAGCCGAGAATGGAATCAAATCGTATGGATGTCTCGGTTTCTCGTTTTCTGGCGCAAAACGCTCTGGCTTGAATTGCATAAAGTCATCACCCCAAATCTAAAAAGTTTAAATTCTAATTATTAACTTTGAAAACCGTTTCAAACCTTTCTATTTCGATGAATAATCATCGGATTGATCCAAACAACACAGCCTTTTGGGAGAATGAATTCACCTACAGGGTCCGAGAAAAGTATTGTCGCGTCTTTTTGAACTAACTTTTATGCGATTTAAAGTATCCTTTTACGTTGTGTAAAACATGAATTTTGTTCAGTTTTTTTTCCTCTTTAGAATGGTGCATAGCATTCAATGTGTATTTTTAGAAATGCAAGCTTGCCCTCATCGAGAGGCGATCGCTATGGTTTTGAAAGCCGGAGGGTCGAAGGCGGTCATCTCGCGAAAGCTCAAAACCAACATCAGAACTGTTCAACGACTTGCCAAACAATTACAAGAGAAAGGACGCGTCAAGGAGAAGCGAAAAAAGGAAGACCTCGATCGGTGAACACGCCAAACATCCGGAAGCTCATCAAACTGCGAATTGACCGAAACGACGAGCGAAGCTTAGGAAAAATGGCCAAGGAGCTAAAAATCTTGGATTGGTCGGTTCGGAACATTGTGAAAAAGGAGCTGGGACTTCGTAGTTATCGTCTGCGACAAGGCGAATTTCTTACCGATGATGCAAAATTCAATCGAGTTCAAAAAGCCAAGCGGCTCCTTTGTTTTTTTAAGATGGCACGCATCCAGGACGTCTTGTGGTCAGATGAGAAAATTTTTATTATCGAAGTGGCCCACAATTCCCAAAACCATCGTCAACTGATGTCACCGGCCCAGAAGAACACTTTGAAGCGGAAAATCCGGACACGGGGTCTTTTTCCGAAAGGATTGATGGTTTGGGTAGGAGTGACTGCGGATTCGGAGACTCAGCTTGTTTTCATCGACAAGAGTGTCAAAATCAATGCCCAGGTTTACCAAGATCAGATTCTCAAGAATGCTGTGATCCCCTGGAGTCGAAAAAACCCTAACATGACCTTCCAGCAGGACTGGGCCCCGGCCCATGGAGTGAAAACCACAATGGACCTGATTCGGCGCGAATTGCCCTCTCATTTCACGAAAGAAGATTGGCCCAGCAACTCACCGGACCTCAACCCTTTGGATTTTTCAGTATGGGGCTTCTTAGAGGAACGTTTGAGGCATAAGAAAATCGCAAATCTTGGCGAGCTCGAGAGGGAATTGATCGCTGCCTGGAACGATATTGATGCCAACTACCTCCGTGCCACCGTCGGCTCAGTGATCGCACGTCTGAAAGCCTGTATCAAAGCCAAGGAGTCCAATTTCGAACACTTGTTATAAATTTGAATTTTTGGTTATTTATCTGTTATTTTTTTCAATAAATATGTTAAAAGCTCAAATTTGAAAAAAGATATGATGGTTGGAAAAACGACAATACTTTTCTCGGACCCTGTATAGAAATCGTTTTTAAATTTCGATTTTAGACTTTTAAATGATTACAGGTTGAGGAAAAAGTATAGCTCAGGCTCAGCTTAGGCTCAGGCTCAGCCCAGCCCAGCTCAGCTCCAGCTCAGCCCAGCCCAGCTCACCCCAGCTCAGCGCAGTTCAACCTAGCCCAGCTCAGCCCAGCTCAGCTCAGCTCAGCCCAGCTCAGCTCAGCTCAGCTCAGGCTCAGCTCAGGCTCAGCTCAGCCCAGCTCAGCCCAGCTCAGCTCAGCCCAGCTCAGCTCAGGCTCAGCTCAGGCTCAGCTCAGCTCAACTCAGCTAAGCTTCTAGAACATAAACATGGTATGTCGACTTTAATCTGAAAGTGTTAAAAGTTTAAGCGATATTTGCAATTATTTGATAATAAAAACCTACATTGTATTTCGATTTTTAAAGTAAAATTTCGTCATCGGCTTTCGTAAAAGAAAACTAGATTTTCTGGAACATAAACATGATATGTTTTCTCTCATTTGGTTATTTTCATAAAACTCGAAACATTTTGCAAGTGAAAGCTCTTATCAATAAGGAAAATAATTTAGACACTGAATGTTTTCCCATAAACAAAACAACAGTAATAGCCATTGGAATATTAATTT